CAAAGGAAATCAGTATTTCCTTATTTTGCAGAATTATTGTGAACTTGCCTTCAGTGTGCCATGCAAAGTACATCTTATGATATGGAACAAAACGAAAAAAGGATTCACAGAAAAGAACAAGCATCTGAATAATAGGAAATCAGATTGAAAGATGGTGGAGTACCCTTGTCTGCTGTTCATACAGCAACTGTCGAGCAGAAGGGTGTACCTTTGGGAGGAGAAGGGGAAGGATGTGAGAAACACAATGTTCCCTAGGGTTCTTAGGAACAGCTGACTTGGGACAGGGAGGAGAAGATGGTGCAGGCCTCCCAAGAGAGTATAGAGCAGAAAGGAAGGAGCAAAGAAGGAAAACAGGGAGGTGTCACTCAAGACCAGCAAGTACCTGACCCTTAGTGATAAATACCCACTTCCCGCTTCTTCCAGTGGAGCTGCATGATCAATACCAGTTGAATGAGAGAGGGAGATCTAGGAACACCATTGAGTCCAGATTTAAAAGAAAGTGTGTCTAAATCTCTTTTATCTGAGCATGTTTTTATCTAAGAGCCAGGTCCCAAACTAAGCAACTATAATATTTTCATGAATCAAGACCAGCACTGAAACACTGAGTTTAGAAGCCTAAATTTAAAGGCCGATCATTCCCAGCACTTTGACTAAAGCAAAAGCTGGGAAAAATCTTAAACGTGGAAACAAGCAAATTTAATTTTTTTTTTTTTTTTTAAAGTAGGCTCCTTTCTAGAAGTTTGCTTCAGAAGGAGAGCAAGTTGGTTTGTTGGAGTGTGTGTGAAATACCTCTTCATGAAAAATGTCAGTGCTGACTCTGCTGAGAAGAAATTGAATTAGTGCCAACTACAGTTCCTGTGGAAGTCTGCTAGGAAGTCAGCTAAAATCCAGCAAAGCAGCTAGGACAAAGTCCTGCACTGAACCGAACCTGTAATCTTGAAGGTAAATTCTCACTTTGTTACCCCCTTGCTCAAGCCATCCTGCCACTGCACATTTCATATTTAAGATACCTTCATCACTGTTTTATGACCCATTGGAGGTTTACATGTGTCAATTCATGCTCAACTGTAAGAACCGGGAGGCTGAGAAGTTGACTGAATACAGATGTTAGAAACACATATTCACATACCATCACAGACAGCAGCAACGTGGGCAGGAAGAAGAATACTGAGTGAGGACAAGAGAGAAGATGCCTCCATTCAGATAAGGAGCTGGAAAAGCTGTGCAATGCATCGTCAAGATGCAGGTAAGGAAGAGCACGACTGGAAATGGCAGAAGAGAGCAGTGTGCAATGCAGGCCGAGGCTGGGTGCCGCTCTCTAAGGGATCAGCATGCATCAACAGAGATAAGCACAGAGGAGCATGCTCCATTTGGCAAGTCTTCCAGCTGTTCCCTGTCTCCCTGAGTCTATGCTTACAACTCAGATACATTTGGCACCGACGGGATATGAGAGTGCCACAGGAATGGCAGCTCTTTCACACAATCTGCCCACGAGCTTCCTCTTCACTGTGCCAGGGGGAGGCGGACAAAGCTTTGGCTGCTGGCTTTACAGAACTAGGCTGACAGCCGGGCAAAAGGAAGCTGCAGAAAGCCCATCGCGCTTGCAAAGCCTCCAGCAGGAGGAGTTTTAGATGGTTCAAAGAGAGCATTCAAACAGAAACCTCCCACAGCCTGGAATTCAGCTCATGCTAATTGAGCACTAACTGCAAGAAAAAAGAATCCTTTCCTCCGGTCAGTGCTGCTCTGACTGGCAGTGACATAGCAGAGACCAGAGCAGTATTTACAAATATGTGTGAGATGTGTGGTTTCATGGTCTTTAACTACTGCTTTAACAACAGTAGGTAAAATTAGCTTTTGGTTGCAGACACCATTTAGAAGCAGGAGATCGTAGCAGCCTTTGGGCTAAATTTTGATACCCTAGCATTGAATAATATGCTGCTCTTGTTCTTGGTAGTAAGGTTCAATTCAGTTTACAAAGGCACTCAAATCTTTGTGTTACAAAGAGACTTGGGCATGGGTGGTGACATGAAGTGGAATCAGGTCTCTGGTACCTGAATCCCTTTCCCTGGTTACAAGACACCACTGCTCCTGTTTGCTGCTGTGCTCAGCTCACTGCCACTGACCTGCCCTGGCTTTCTTGCCATTTCTCAGCTGGTGGCTCTGAGGCTCACAGGAGTTTAACTTGACAAAGACAGCAGAGCATTTTCTGCTGAGTTAGTGAGCTGGATAGGTTCAGTGAAGTGTTCAGTGAGCACCAGAGCCAGCTCAAGAGATGGGGCCACTTATGGCTGGGAACAGTAACAGCTGGGACAGGAACAGCAGCACCTTTCAAGAGAGCAAATTCATAGGTGAGCTTGACAGCAATGTCAAACCACACACAGAGTTTTGTAATCTTCTCTTTTGTACTTCAGATACCAGATTCAATGATGTGAGACACTATAAAGAGTTCCACTCAGAAGTGGGACACTGCTGAAGACTAGTTAACAAAGGCTGACCTGCATAATTTGGATTAGTAGAAAGGGACTAAAAATCAAGTCCTCTTGGAAGGCAGGAATTCCAAAGTCATCAATGCAGGTGGAAAAATTGGAAAATAAATATTTTAGTATAGTTCAGGTAATTCTCAAGAAGCTGCTTTTCTGATATATTTTATTCACTACAAGCCAATCATCCCAGTTACTCCTGTTATTGCTGGATAGGAGCAGTCTGTGGCAAGGAGGCTTTACAGGTAACAGTTGATTTATTTAATTACAGATACACATATTTTCTGCCTCTAATTCAAATGCTGTCCAAGCACACAAGTACAGTTTGCCTGTTTAAAAGCAGTCCATTTGACCTAGATAACTGCTGTTCCCTCTCAAGACAAAAACTCTCCTCACATCCTTCTTAAAGTTCTTTCATATTGCAGGCTCCATGCAACACCCAGAGGCACAAAAGTTTTAACAAAATTATATCGAACAAGGACTGCAAGACTTATCATACTTGACACTGAGAAACAAAAATGAAAACAGCTGACCCCGAGACATTCTAGGATTTAGCAGACAAAGAAGTGTCTTTTACCCAGGCTTTGAAAAATCACATTTAAAAAACAACCATCTCAGAACTTACCTCTATGTGATCCTTGACTTAAAAAGATGCCTAGAAGAGGTCTTGTACAATAATGTTATGCACTGGAAGGTTTACACAGAATTTAAATGGAAAGAGTTATTACCAGCATTCAGAGAAAATCGGTTTCATTACTTTCCCTTTTCTCTCCAGTCAGTACTTTCCAGCCACTGCCAGTCCACTGTTTTGCTTTAGGAGTATCTTTCAACTAAGTTCCCAGTGGAGCATCTGATATTTTTCCAAGAAAAGCTTTTGAGACTCTGAACGAACAGTCCTTTCAGTACAATCCCTGTGCCCAACAACTTTCTACATAAAAGCCCTCATTATGAATTTTGAGTCGGTGGGGTGTTCTCAGTCAGTGTGTGTTGCAGATCAGGCTTTCTTGACCTAGAATTGGTATTTCTCATGTAGTTTGCATGCAGCCCTAAAGCACATTCTAATGCTGTGCAGGCTGATGATTACAAAAGAAAAAAAAAGGCAAAAGAAAATCACATTAAAAATTTTGATTTGGAATTGGCAACACTGTAACCTCTCCCTTAGCTGCCATCTCATTAACATATTTGTTCAAAAGCCTTTTCTCTGCTTCATTATATAATTTGTTACAAAATCCAGATAAACACTCATTATTCCCAGGTCTAAATAATGGCTTATTGGGCTTCCTTTTTCTTCTTCTTCTGTTTTTCCCAGAGAAAAATGGGGGACAGAAGGGGCTTGTTTGGATGGGAAATGAACCACACCGATTTCTGAGTAACATCTGGGACATCTGTTGTGTATGGCATTACAATACAATTTGTAAATACTAGTGAATGATTCTTGCCAATACCTCTGCAAAGTAGATTAATTAATATTATTGTCCTCATTTTACAGACTAAAGTCAGTTCATATTTTCTGCATCTCCTGTATCTCATTGTTCCACGCTGGGCAGAGTCTGCAACCTTAGAGAAGAACCATTTGTGTCCTACTGCTGTAAGGTGTAGCAGGTACAAAAATGCTAAGCTTGCCATCAGTAAACCCTGAAGATATTGGTATTGGCATTGAAATGAAAACGTGACGTTCTCTTCCTTTTTCTCTCTAACTTTTATTTCTTCTGAAGTTCCCTGTGTAAAAACGTAGAGCTCCATGACCCGCAGCTGAGGTCCAGTGACAGGCAAGACCTGCTGCACCTGGAGCCTCCAGTGCTGTCAGTCAGTCTCAACCATGACAGAGTATCACCAGGGAGAAAAGGCAAAGGTGGTTAATGTAGGCTGGAGATTTCACCTTGCACGTACTTCATGTTCTGAAGTGGTGAAACAGTGGGGCCTGGGAGTCTGCTGGGCAAGGCTGAGAAGCTGTGTTGTGGGGCTTGGTGAGGTGCGGCTGGAGGAGCAATGCTGGACTTCTCCCCCATGGCGATCGTGGGCAGAGCAGAGGGGCAGAATCCCCTCCCTCGCCCTGCTGCCCACGCTGCTTTGGATGCTGCCCAGGACACGGTTGGCTTTCTGGGCTGCCAGCGCACGGTGCCGGCTCATGTTGAGCTTCTCATCAACCCATACCCCAAGTCCCTCTCCTCTCAATCCATTCTCTGCCCAGCCTGTACTTGTGCTTGGGATTTTCTGTTCCTTTGCTGTCCCATTAAACCGTCTTTATCTTAGCTCACGAGTTCTATGTTTTTATGACTCTCTCCCCATTCACATCTGCCCTGACTGCTTCAGGCAGCTCCAGGCAGTAACTAACTTGAATGTGGAACTCGTGCTAAAAACTAATACTTGTCTAGCAATGCTGCTGTTTCTCCTTTAAATTATTTTTGGCTAAGCAGCTCTTTGGGGTGGAGTTATTGCAACAGAGGCTTTCAGTTTCGGTTTTTTTTCCCCTCTCTGCTCTTAGAAGAAAGGATATCCAGCAGAAGAGAAAGAAAAATCATGACTGAAGAGAGCAGGTTCTGCAAAAATTGGTAAGAGATCCTTCTCCCTCTCCACCCCTACAAAGTGTGGGGATTTCAAAAGTTTTCTAGGATTTTCTTTGATGTTGTCTAGATCTCCTGTAACGGGGAGAAGAGGAAGAACCACAAGACAGGAGGGGGATACGCTAGCCATTAAGTAGTGAACAAAAATACATGCATTTTCACATTTCCAGTTGCTGCTTTCTTGCTACTTTGCTGTGCAGAGGTTTCTGCCGTAGCCCTCTCCTATGCTGCATGTCCTCTTTTTACATAATATCACTGTGGGTAATTTTGCAGTATCTGGCAGAGGAGTCAGTGCATGGACCATGCCAAACCCAGGAACTGCTTCAGTTTTCCCGCATGGCTGATGTTTCTTTCTGTTGCTATATTTGCAGTTAAGTGATAAAATACTCTTTTTTTTCAGGGTAATTGGCCATCTCTTACAGAACAGAAGGCTGAAAGGGGCCATAAGGATAGCATAGCTTGGTGTGTCTCAACTGGTGGCAAGGCCATTGGGCAAATTATATGAACAAATACAGCCAAAGAACTGTAAATTTTGTGATGCCTTAGATGACACTCAGAAGACGGGCCTTTTTCTTTCCATGTCTATAAAAAATGTAAACAACAGCAGAGCTTTTCCTGAAACCATTGTTGGACAAACGTACCAGGAGCCTCTGGCAGCTGCCCTTTCCTTTCAGAAGTATTCCTGGTAATGCGGCAGCACAGAATGAGTAACAGAATCCAGTCGTTAAATGTCTCATTAAGACACATCGAAAAGACAAATACTTATTTATAGTTTTTAGGGACAAACTAGTTGAATTGTAACGAGTTGTACTGGGTCTGGCTTGGATGGAGTTAGTTGTCTTCACAGCAGCCCTTACGGTGCTGTGTTCTGTAATTGTGGCTAAAACAGTGTTGATAACACACCAGTGTTTTGGTTTTTGCTGAACAGTGCTTGCACAGTCTCAAGGTTTTCTCGTTTTCCCCACTCTGCCCCCACCCCAGTGAGCAGGCTGGGGTTGAGCAAGAGTTTGGGAGGGGAACAGCCGAGACAGCTGACCCGAACTGTGCAGAAAGATATTCCATAATGTATAACCTCAGGCTCAGGAATAAAAACTCCATTAGAGGAAGAAGAACAGGGTTGGGGTTTTGGTTTCTTTTTGCTGCCGAGGTGGCTATTGCCTAAAGACTGGTTGGGCACAGGTATGCCTGTGGGAGGTGGTGAGTGATGTCATTTGCTTCATTTGTTCCCCCCACTCCCCCTTTCCTTCAAGTATTAAACTGTTTTTATCTCAACCTACAAATTTTCTCACTTCCATTCTTCCTATTTCCCCCCACCCCATCCCACTGTGTGTGTGGTGGGATGGTGGTGAGTGAGCAGCTGTGTAGGTGCTTGGCTGTGGCAGGGTCAGCCCACCACACCAGTTCATTTACTTGTCTCTCTCCCATTTATGTGCTTGGTAGTAAACGAGATGTGTCTGCTGCCAATTTCTCCCTCCATGAGGCCCACTGCTTGCGGTTTCTCACTCTCTGTCCAAAATGTGATGAACCAGTTGCCCAAAAGGATATGAAACACCATCAAATGGAAGCACACAAGCAGGTGAGGAATACTACACGTTCTGCAGGGTTTTCTTGCAAATAGCAAAAAAACTCTGCCAGCCCTGAAGTAGTATGTTCATGGCACTGTGCTCTATATTAACTAGATTTGAACTTCTGTAATTGTTTGACCAGAAGATCTCTTTAAGGGTCTGATATGACCCTTCAAGCCTGGTTACAGCACCTTTTGATCTTGCTGCACACTCAGCTTAAGAGAATAAGGTTTCCACTGTGGTGTCTCAGTTTCCCCAGCAATACGAATTACAGATCAGGTATGGATACATGCTTCTAGTGCTTGGGAATTAGCCGGAGCACGCAGACAGGCAGTACCTGGTCTGACATAAACCTTGCTTGTAAAAAGCTATGACATCAATGCACTTTTTTAACAAAACTGAACTGGCAGAGTAAATTTATTAGCTCTTCATATAATGAGGCAATAGCATTTTTAGTACAGCATTAAGAACCCTGTAGCTAGAGGTACTATGCTGAAGCATGAATACACAAGCATGACTCCCTATTCTGTCTTGCTAGTTTTATGATTTTGGCAATTCCGTTGCTTTCAGTTACTTGACAGAACGCATGAGTAGCTCATATGGCAAACCTACAGGAAACAAGCATACCTGCTGTGTTTTCAGAGGGGCCGTTATAATTTAGACTCGCTGAATATCAGACCTGTACTTTTAAGTTAAACCTCAGTCAAAATTTGGAATACAGACTCTTTATTTCACATCACACTTTGCATTTCACATGGGTGCTTTTGAGAACTGGATCCTCGCACAGAATGACAGCTGACTGCAGAATCATCAGGCATCTGTTTTCCTCAAGATCTCATCAGACAGCTCAGGCCTGACAAACAAAAATTCACCTACAGCTTGTTGATGATTGGGATGAAAGGAAGATCATCTCAGCAGCTTGAAGTTGTACTGACACATGAAAGCACTAACTATCCTCCCGTGCTCCCAATGAACTGCTGTATGTTTTGCTTGCAGGTCAGATGTACTCTTTGTCACCAAAGCATGCAGCAATACCAGCTGGAACATCATGAGGTAAGTATGGAGTGCAGTACTCTTTACCTTCTAGGCTGACCCCTTTGAGCAGCCACCAAGAGTCACACTAATGGGTTCAACAGCAAAACTGAGTAAATGCCCAACTCCTGTCCTGGACCATGAAGAAACTTAAACCTCTCATCAGTTGCAGAGTTTTGGCATACCTTTTTCCCCTTATAAATAAGTATATCCCATGGTGGTTGCTCATCCAGTTGTGATGGGACTGTCAGTTCCAGGAGATAATCTATTACGTTCTCATCCTTGGCACCTCAAGCTGATTCTTTGAGGGCTTCTCAAAGACATTTCTGTCCAGCCTCCACGCTCATATTACCTGTTTTTTCAAAGGAGTGGTTATACAAAGCAAGAGTTAAGGAAACAGCTAAAGAGGAGATACAAAAAACACTTGGCAGAGGCTGGGAAGTGAGAGCAGCCTGTCCATGGTAGCTGTAGTCTAACCAAGGAACCAAAGCAGTGAAGACACAGCAGGCTTCCCCTGGTGACGGTAGCTGAAGTATTGGAATTTTCTAGGTGGGGTTGTGCTCCGTTGCTAACCTGTACTGACACAGAACATCTTCACTGCTATTGATTCCCATTTTGCCTTATATTGCCAAATTCATCCTAAATTAAGGATAGCCTAGATAAGTGAACTCATAATACACCTAAGCCTGCATTTGGTTATGTGGATAACCTTTAAGGAGGACATTCTTAAACAGTCATTCTTTGCTCTCACCCAATGCCCTCTTTTAGTACTGACAGAAAATTTGCAATAATTTCCTCTATTCATGTGCAGACCGAGGAATGCCACAAACGAGCAATGAAATGCGAGATCTGTGAGCTTGAAATGCCCTTCAACAAGCTGCAGGAACACTTGAACACCTGTGCCAGTCGAACAGAGTGGTGTTGGGAGTGTAACAAATACATCATGTACAAAGACCAGAACAAACACAAAGATATTTGTCAGAACAGTGGTCTGTCCTATCATAAGGATGTGAATTTTCAAACCAGTGAAGCATCCACTAATGCAACGCTTATTTTCCCCACTGGTAAGCAAAATTCCTCATTGTCATGGACTGGGTCAACTGTGTTAAATCTCAGTGAAAATTCTTCTGCCTTCTTTAAAATTCTCAGTAATCCGGGCTAGAGGGAATTGTTGTTTAACCAACAACAGTGAAAGGGCCAAGTGTTGCTTTCGATTATGCTCGTTATTGTGAAGCCAGAGTGGCTCCACTGACTAGTAGCTCATTTGCCATGTTCTGTTATGCCTCCCTGATATCCTGGAAGTGAAGTTCCTTCTATTAGAAAATAAGTGGAACTTCTTTCTGTTTCTATTTGTTGCACGGGAGAAAATATGATTTGGAATTTCCTCCTACTTCATATATAAAGCCAGTAATGCATATCTTGATTTCTTGAAGTTGAGGGTACCTTTATTAGGCCTAAGGTATTGGACAGAGTATGTCAAGACAAAAAAATTGTGAATCCTGTCCATGATTCCAGAAAAGAACATGCACAGGCTGGACGGAGAATGGATTGAGAGCAGCCCTGAGGAGAAGGACTTGGGGGTATGGGTTGATGAGAAGCTGGCAATGTGCACTGGCAGCCCAGAAAGCCAACCGTGTCCTGGGCGGCATCCAAAGCAGTGTGGGCAGCAGGTCGAGGGAGGGGATTCTGCCCCTCTGCTCTGCTCTTGTGAGACCCCCTCTGCAGTGCTGCGTTCAGCTCTGGGGACCCCAACAGAAGAAGGACATTGAGGTGTTGGAGTGAGTCCAGAGGAAGGCCATGAAGATGATCAGAAGGCTGGAGCACCTCTCCTAGAAGATAGGCTGAGAGAATTGGGATTGTTCAGCCTGGAGAAGGGAAGGCTCTGGGGAGACCTTCTAGCAGCTTTCCAGTTCCTAAATGGGGCCTACAGGAAAGCTGGAGAGGGACTTTTTACAAGGGCATGTAGTGATGGGACAAGAGGAATGGCTTTAACCTGAAAGAGGGTAGATTTCTATTAAATCTAAGGAAGAAATTTTTCACTGTGAGGGTGGTGAGGCACTGGACCAGGTGGCCCAGGGGAGTTGTGGCTGCCCCATCCCTGGAAGCATTCAAGGCCAGGTTGGATGAGGCTTTGAGCAACTTGATCTAGTGGAAGGTGTCCATGCCCATGGCAGGGGGGTTGGAACTAGATGATCTTGAAGGTCCCTTCCAAACCAAACCATTCTGTGATTCTATGATCGGTAGGTACAGTGGTTGACAAAATAAACTATAATGAGCAAAACTCTCTAGCAACAGAATTAGTGAGGCCAAGGTAGGAGTGAAGCATTTTGAGCCACAAAACATGAGTCTGTTGTGGAAGATAAAATATCGTGAAGTCTGTGGGAAGGGCTGGTGGATTAGTTTTGAGTGGTGCCAAAGCAAAACGTTGTCACAGCTGTAATTCCTTCTTTGCCAGTGGAATCAGCATTCTGTGTTTCTCTAGAACCAGCAACCATAAGTGGATTTGAGCATCCTGTCTAGATGGCTCGTGTCAGTACTGTGTTTCTCTCTGTTTTTTCTCCTTCTGAAGGTACTGGTGGCAATCTTTGTTGGAAGTGCAGTAAGTCATTCCCAGATGACCAGTTCTCCCAACATCAGGTAAGCACATGTGAAACTGAACAAGAGAATGGTCTGTGCTTAATTTCCAGCCAGGTTATTTCTCTGAAAAGTGATATGTTAGGTAAGAAAGGGCAGTGTGTCTTAGCTTTTCAAACTATATTTTCACGATACATGTATTCAGCGGAAGCATCACTGTGAGGTGATGTGCACTGTCCCTCCCCATGACTCATGTCTGTCACAAATCATAACATACGACACAGTTGGGTGTAATGAAAATCTTCACCTCATTATGCATCCTCTCTTTTAACAGAATAAATGCAGTGCAGCCCATAAGCCGACACAAGATCTTGCTGGTCAGTCAACTTCAAAACTCAGCAGTGACCCACCACAGTCTTCTTCCTCCCTGGCACCGTCTTCCCGCTCCGAGAATGCGATGGTGTGGAAAGATGTCCGTCCCAAAGGGAAAGAAAGGGACCAGTCATTGACCTGCAAATCCTTGCTTAAACCCCCAAAGAACAAAAAGATTGACTTTCCCTCTCCCACAAGAGGCAGACTTTCCACATCACCTCAAGCTCTGAAAGTCACCCAGTCTTTTGATCAGCTTGCAACCTGTGCCCATTGCAACATTCTTCTGCCTCTTCCAACCCTTCAGAAACATGAGGTGAGAACTGACACATTGGACTCAGCCTCCTACATGCAAAGGGCTGTACCTACAGAGCCACTATCTCCACACTGCCTGGGGTCCCAGTGCCCATTTCTGGATTCCATAGCTTCTTGAAATGCTGGCCATAGGTACATTCTCTCTGTAGAGCGTGGAATTTTTAATTCCATTTGTGCTCACATCTACACAAACAAGATCCATTGCCTATATATAGTCTGCTTGAGTTTTAGGAAAATAATAACCATCACTCAAGCCATTAATTTTAAGCTCAAATCCTGGAAAGTCTTCAGCAATTGTCCTTATTTGCTGAAGGCTGATATTGTTCCTGCTAAGCAAATAGTATGATTCTATCTCAGCTACATCAGAGATGGAGCTCTAGATAATTTTCCATCCCAACAAAGGGGCCCAGTTGCCTCCCTACTGAATATGATCACATGTTGAATATAATGTTAAATTCTCCTCTGATATGACTGTTACTTATTTTTCTAGATCAAATGTCTACGTTTGACATCTTTGAAAAATGCTAGGATGAAACAAAAATCAAGCAATGGAGAAAGAGGTACTACAGAATTTGAGAAATTTAGAATGGAATTCACCATTCAGGATTATTCTACATTGGGTTAATAGGAAAAATGGGATGTTTTGCAGAGGTAGTGCATTTAGGATAGCTAATACTCAGAAAATCACAAAGCTCTTTAGATTCCAACACACAGCGCGTTCCCATGAGGTTGCATTAAGCAAGCATTGCTTCAGAGCCAGTATGTTTTCACTCTCTTGACTCAGAGCAACATGTATTGTGCCTCTCAAATTATGCTACTATGAACAATGCAGTACCTTCCCTACTGTAAGCAGAGATCAGCACAAAAGATTTTACAGAACAAATATTCTGTGCCAGGTCTGTCTGCTCCAACACTGAATGGAGTCTTAAAGAATAGTTTCAGAAGACAAAAAGTAAAATTATTTTTTCTCCATAGTAAAAATTGCATATTCAATAGAAGCATTGATATAATTATGCCAGACAATACCTCCAGCTGCACTTGCACTGATCCACAGCCCGTCTCTTTCCTCACCCTGTCCCAGACAGGCTGTGAATTTTAATACTTCTGTCTTTGCCAACACTCCCCTTTGCTTTTTAGTTCCTAAGCAGTATCATTTCCTCTCAGTCCAATTAATTAAGTGAAACTGAAAGTAGTTGTTCTCAATCTGTCCCTTTGCTACGTGATTCAGTAAGTGAGGTATTACTTTTCCTTGTAAAACTTTTATCTCCTGGTAGATGAAAGAGAGAAAGGACCAAAGCGAGAAATAGGGGGTTTGTCTAGTTTTGAATTACTGGACTCTAGCCTTGAAATGAAAGTGAGCACATGGTAATTACATGGATTATTTGACTTGCATTGTGGGTCTTTTCTATTGTTCAACTGAGTGATGACATAGGAAGGCTGTGAAACTGAAACTTTAAGAACAGTCATAACTGGGCTTTGTTTGTTTTACAGAAGAATTTCTGTAGCACTCATGATTAAATCTGGAAATGGAGGCACATCTTCAGATTGAACCTTCAGCTTGGCTTTAGCAAAAGGCACTGAAAGTGTGATTTCCTTACCAACAAATAAAAGTGACTTCCTACTCTGGATCAAGAACAAAAAGCGACTCAGATTTTTATTCCTGATCAAGAGAGGCATTTAAGAGTTTTCACTAGAAAACTGTAAAAGTGATGAGGGCTCAACAGCTATTGTCATTTCAAATATTTCTGTGTAAGCTTGCTTTAGGAATGTACTTTTTCCACCTGCTTCAGCAAGGAGAGCAGCTTATTTGAAAATATTTGTTCTGGGAGAGAAGGAAATAAGGAATTCAGAATTCCTTGTCATGTTGAGCACCACCAATTCCCTTTGCCGTCACTGAGAGCTGAGACCTTAGTGTTTTTCAGGGCATGGCCCAGTGACATGAAAAAAACATTAAATGCTGCTCTCCTTCACTTCAGTGAACCACTGAACCTAGGGCTAGCACAAACAGCTGAGTCTTGGGAGATTGCAGACACATCCAAGGATAACTGAGGGTGTTCATCTTCTGTTTCACAAATGGAAACTCATAGAGCCCAATGGTGCAAAAGTTAAAAATGAAGAGTGAGTGGATGCTTTATGCTAGTGCCTGTGAACATCTGTGAAAGCAGCCTTTGCCGCTTGGCATCTTACGTCGATAAACACTAAAACATGTTAACAGATGAGTTTTACTATAAGGTGCCATTTTCCTCTCATCCACCCTTAGCAGGGTTCAATCTTACAAACTGATGGCTGCAACTAAGGCACATATGCTGACCTATAATCTGAGTTACATCTTACTTCTCGCCTCCAAACTTACTGATATCTGCATCATTTATGCACAAGCACACACAGGATGCAGAGTCAGTTGACTGAGTTAATAAACTCTCTCAGTGATTCAGCAAAGGCCCAGGCTCATTTATGCACATCGTAGGCAGAGCTGCGTGGCAGGACTGAGCCAAAATGCGCCAATGGGCGTTCGAAGAGGAGATACTTCCAGCCTGGTAGTCACTGGGCAGCGGTACAGCGGCTGGTCACGTGGGCTGACAAGCGTTAGTGACTTCTGAGGCTCCAGGGACCTTTGCAGCATAGAGACTGTTTCTAACAACCAACAGCTCCTCTTGCATGCACTCAGACCTCATTAACCTGGATCTGAAACTCTGCTACTCAAAGGCCAAGAGTGCAATAACTTCACTCCCTGTCTGTCCCAGATGTTTTGCTGATCAGTGTCTAAATGAATTTCATTTGAAAGCTTGCAGGAGTACTCTGACCACATTTAAGAAGGGATTTTCAAACACAATCCAAGACAGCGCTCTCACTGAGGTTTATTTTAAGCTTTTAAAAAATTGTTCTGAACTTCTGGTAAGCAGGTCTGACATTGAACGTGGTGCTATGAAACAGAATTTTCTGTGTTTGGGAGCAGAGGAAAAGGGCTGTGAAAGCATGTCTGTTAAAGCCATGTCACTCTATGCATAAAGTTCTTCTCTTTTATTCTGCACTCATTAGACTTTCACATAGTTTAGTATTCTTATTATTCCTTGATAGACATTGCAGCAATAGACTTGATGGATCTCCGCACAAGCATAAGCTTTCTCACTGTTGTGCATTTTGGGGTCCGTACAACTTCCAGCAAAGCTGGACTTATCAGGCCTCCCAGGAGCACTTTATTGTTCTTCAAGGCCTGTTTGAAGAAGGCTGGTAAACATAGCATGGTCTGAAGAGAATCCATAGTAAATTAATAAAATAAGTTTGGAGACGAACTGAGCAGGCAGCTCATGCTCCACAATCTATATCTTTATACAGAGAAAGACATGAAACCATTTTCAATCCTTTTGAAAAGGAACTTTGAAAGCCTTGCTGCCCAAAAGCAAAGGAAGATGCTTTGCTCCTAGAAACAGTCCAATTTACCAGACAGGACAAGAAATGGGCAGGAGCAGGCAGGATAACGGGATGGTGCTTGCCCCAGCCCTGTTCTCGCAGGAGGGCTGCAGATCCACGCCACGCTGTGCCATGGGCTCGCCTGGCAGCACCGGACACCCGCGGGGTCACATCTGGTACTGTGGGACAGGAGCCAACGTGGCTGTGTCTGAAAAGCGTCACACAACTCGCAGAGAGCACCAGGCCATCTTCAGCCTTATGGCCCTTTCGCCGGGGGGGAGCGGGGCGCGGCGGGCAGCAGCGCTGTTCCCGCTCCTCTGAAAAGCACGGCAGGGCTCATGGCGGAAATCCGCGCTGCAGTGGCATCGTGCGGCTGCTGGTGGCACTGGCAGGAGCGAGACCGTCGTGGCCGGGCCGGGGGCCGCGGAGCGAGGAG